AAATCAGTTAACCCTTTTTTGGATCATAACCCACCCCCAAATCTTTAAACTAATCAAGCTTTGAATAATTATTTACAAACATACGAATGGGTATGATTGTTGCAAAATATCTATCTGCATCATGTGTTTTTTCGTTCAACTCTCCACAATAAAAGGGTTAAAAAACTATCCATCGTCGAAACAAAAAGGAAAAAATTGAATTTTCGTACGTGCACGAAAATTGTTGAAACGCAAATGGAAAAATCGGTGTTTCACAGAACGATTCTTTGTTTTTGAAAATCAAACAACATCAACGCATGAGAGAATTTCCGAAACAATTGTTTAATTCGGAATACAACGTCGAGTTTCTCGCAATCGAGCGAAAGTGTCGTGAAGATGCGCGATATAAACGGGAATTTGGACGGTGCGGACGTTGAAACGACGCCCACAATTTTCGGCGTGTTTTTCTCGCGGACAAAGAAAAAAGCTGAATCACCAGCGACGCCATTCGATTGCTTGGCGCGAAAATAATAACCCACGCCACGTGCATCTGCGTCTTTCCACGCGAAGGAATTCAGAGAACGTCGCGCTTTGTGCTGCTTGAAAAAAGCTTCGACTCGTGAAGGAAATAATTAAAAGGCGTCGAGAAGTCAAAAGCTCCAGGAAAACGATAGAAAATCGTCTCGAGAATACGTAAAGTTATCGTTGAAAATTCTTGAGAAGTATTCATTCTTTGTTCTCGGTACGCCTCGATTTTTCACCAAATTTTCCTCTGACGGAAAACAAATACGTACGAATATATCGTGTTGATTCCAAGAAATCGAAGTACCGTTTGGAAATAAATAATCAAGACATTTATTTACCGGACAGGCGAAAATTCTATTCTGTTTTCAATCTAAGGTGAAAACTGATCAAACAAGATCTTTGTCAAAATAATGAAAATCCAGGAAGATTTATTGAGTCAGGAGTCTGTGATGCACACTGGTACATTTGCATAAAAAATTTGATCAAAATGCTTTCTAATGATATAAAAAGGAAAAGATGATGACGTACAATATACACTTAAAATTAAACATAAATTTTGACAATTTTCCAAAGACCATAACGCCAAGATCAATAATTTTAAAGTGGTATTTGACAACTGGTAAAATTCTTAAACCAGAACTTTGAGTAAACTTGAGGGCACTTGAATGACTGTCAAATTTAAAGAAGAAGATTTCTGACCAACTTTTCAATGCAAATACCTTACTGTAAGATGTCGGAATTAACGTTCCTCTGGGTAGTCGGCGGTCGGGTGCAGAAAGTTGCTAATACAATAGCAGGTAGACGCCTGTTGCACCCTAGAATTCGCTTTAAGATCAACAAGTGGTTCGTCTAACGGTAACAATGCTTTCTAATGCACCGCTCGTTTCCGGTCGAGTTCTGTTAAACGATCGGTCCTTGGCACGATCTTCGACGTCGTCCACGACTACGTACGTATCTGGGAAGTTGCGAAAGCACAGACGAATTTTGGCTCGGCTAACGTTTATACGTGTCTTGCTAACGCTTTGAAATAATCATTCGCGATACTTCGCCGCGGATATACGTGCGTGCGTGCAGCCGGATCCCGATTTTAAATTTAACCCACCCGCGTTCGCGAATGTCTTTCGAGACTCGATTAGAAATCCCGTTCGAGGCAAACGGTCGAGGGAAATCGCCGTCGAAAATGATTTTCTGGCGAACACGGTTCACGGCAGAACGATACGCCTTAACGATTAATAAAACGAACGTCTGCAGCAGAATGTAGAAGAAAACGTAGCGAGACGCGAGTAAACATGTTATTAATAGAACGTCAATGGAGGAAGATGGGAATAACCAGATATTATTAGATTCGCGTGATCGAAAAATTCGTTTGATCAGACGGAACAAAAAGCTGAAGGAAGATTGGACAGATTATTTTCCTTGGCTCGAGGTGCTATTGCGTTGGAACGAAGTGAAAATGTTCTAGTCACTTGAAAGAAGATTCATATTCAATTTATACCTTGGACGTGTTAGTTAATTCTGTTGGGAAATTGGGCGATTGGCTTTGAAAATGGGGCGCAGTAGAAATACCCGTATATAGTCAGACGTGTACTAGTAAAATGGTTTATCGAAGTCATTAGAAATTCATGTTTTATACCGATGCTTCAATTGATTATTTTAGATTGTTAGTATCATTTTAATGTTATTCAACGCTGACTGGCGTGGCAATGAATTCACTGCCAAGTTCTCGTTAAATTGCCTGAATCGAGTCTTCAGTAGCAACGGACAAAGTTCACAGGGACATCCTCTCAGTTCACCCATCTCTCGAGCACCAACGATCATGATGCACCGGTTCTCAAAATAGAAGAGCAACGACTGCGCGAAAAGATCTTGACATTGTCTCTAATAAAAGACAATCGAGTTGAAAAGAATTCTCATTTCCCACAATACTGGACATGTATAAAAATTCAATGTGCCTTATTAGCTTCGAAAATTTTTACCATTTCCGTGATACTTTCTGTCTCGTTAATTCAAATCGTTCTCTGCTTATGGAGAACTGTGAGGAAAGAAATTTTCCGCGATTAAGCAAGTTTTCCTTTCAATTGGAAGAGAGAAAATACGATGTCCTCGAGGAAACGCGACGCGATGAGTAACGACTTGGCACAATGAAGATCTCCAATTGCAACAGGCTACGAATTACACGTTGCAACTATTTATTAACTGTGACAACGATGACTTTACATATCCCAAAGTGGCGTAAGGTTTGAGGATATTTCACAGGAAATTGGTGAAACCAGTGACGCGTGTTAATCGAACAAATGTATCCACCTCTGGCAGTTACCATTGTTACTATCATTACCAAAAATTTTAGCCATATTTGTAAATTATGAAACTCTAACTACATGTATACGATAAAACGAAACACTCCCTCTAAATTATACATTCCCGATGACAGCACGCTTTTAAATACTAGTTCGTCGCCGTTTTCAGCCAGTACGTGAGTGACCACCGAAATAAACGTCGCGGTTCGGTCAGCGAAATGAATTCGTTCCTATCCATCCAAAATTTCATCGTTTTACTTTTCCGATAGATAACATAGAATTTTATCGTTTCAATATCGTACGTTTCCACTGATTTATACCATTCGTATTTACATTGAATTCGAACTAATAAAAATGCTAACGCGTATTCTGTGATATTTTACAGGCATGGAGCAGTTCGAGCAACTGCTGACGTGCGCGATATGCCTGGACCGATACAGGAACCCGAAGCTTTTACCATGCCAGCACAGCTTCTGCATGGAACCCTGCATGGATGGCCTCGTTGACTACGTGCGTCGCCAGGTGAAATGTCCAGAATGCCGTGCGGAGCATCGTATACCCTACCAGGTGGGCGATCAATCCCGCGAGTGTTAACGGGCGAACTTTCCGACCCGCGGAACATCGCGAATATTTCACTCGACAAAGTTTCACCCGCGTCTCCGCGAACTTCCTTCTTCGGAACGCGTTTCCGCGAACGACGAGTCGCGAACAAAGGCAATTACAAACTCGCATTAATCTTTCGAGCCCTCGAGAATCAATCCCTAGGGGCCGAGTTTACAAAGGGAAATTGTTCGTTCGACGCGTAAGCAACGGGAAAATCTAGAAAGATTCAAACGGAACGATGCAAATGAAAGAACGTACGGTTTCACTTAACCAGGTGTAATGCGTGACTTCATATTTATTCAACGAGAATCTCATGAAATTGGATGAACTTTCACGGTGACACTTTTCCAGGAACTATTTATCTTACCTTTCCAAACGTAACCCTTAATTAAAAGCAACCGCGAATGAAGAGGAATGAGAATTCCTTAAAAATCATTGAGAAACAAATGGAAGTAAACGATTCTTTCATTTGACATTCAATTTTGGATAAAAGGAAGGCTTGAACGAGTTTCGCGATCAAAGGTGGAATTTTATTTCCTTCTATTCTTGAGAGGAGAATCATGGTTATTCGTTTGCCGGTACTCGACTAGTAAATTGTACGGTGTTATCACCAGGGTGTGCAGGCGTTCCCGACCAACGTGACCCTGCAACGATTCCTGGAATTGCACATCGAGATCACGGGAGAACTACCGGACCCGACCAGCGGACAAACGATGGAACGGTGCGGGGTTTGCTCGGAGAAAAGCTACTGCTCCCTCTGCGTCCACTGTGAGAAAAAGTGTTGTCCCGAATGCAAGGACGCTCACATGGACATCCTCAGGCGTGAGATTACGCGCATCAATTCCCAGGTATGATCGCATCGATGAATCCTTTATCTTTATAGATACCCGATCGCTAAAGAACTTTGCGCACCGTTTCGTATTCATAAATTAAAACGAGGATGTTATGACTTCATCCGTGTTATGAAACGGAGTGTATTTTTCGTCTGCGAGACCGGAAGAAGAAACTTTTTCCTTTTAAAGAAGAAGAAACGATTTCACGATCGAACAACCTTTATCTTCTCTGTTCGCTGAAATTAATGGCGATTTTAAAAAGCGACGAGGATTAAGGGAAGACGAATCGAGGCGAAATAATTTCGGGGTTCGGAAAAGTTGAAATTCAGTCGCCAGGAGCGACTCTGAAACTGCAGGAAATCGAGGAGAACAATGTTGTATTTACTCTTCGAAGTAATAGAACGATGTAAATTCGTGCTGTCTCCGGGAACAGTAAACCGAGAATGATTCACCTCTATTTCCGGGCTAGAATAAACCTTGGTGCAATCGCTTTTGAGACAGACCAGAGTTCGCAAACGCATCGACAGGCCATGGATATTGCGCGTCGAACGCAGACAGAGAGGAACGGATCGTACTTGAAAATCGAGATCGTTTCTGATGATCAACGTTCCCGGCGCAATTCGATTCGGAACCCCGGTTTTTCTATCGCACGGATCGCGGAAATGGCTTCATCCGTGATTTCACCCCGCCTTCCACCTGTTCTCTTTCCATCTGAATATTTCAACAATCGTAGACAGAATTGTAAAAAATATTAAAAACTCACCAGTTTCAATGGTAATACATTCTTCGCGAATTGATCAGCGACATTGCCCGGGGGGTTGTAATTGCAAACGAAGTAAATTAAACCCTCTATGTCGTTTGCGATTCCCAGACCGATCGTCCTCGCCTCCTTCCATAGCAGCTGAGTAAAATGGCGAACGTCTTCTAAACTTTGCGGTTGTTTCTCTCCGTAATTGAAGAATCTCCCCTCTCGATACCTGTAATCAATGAAATCCGATTGGGATCAATTTTCCAAGTAGATAAGAGGAAATCGAATCTAACCAAGATTCCAGAGGATCCGACGGTTTGATCTCTCTCTCGGTCTTCTTCCAGGTGCTTCTGAATACATTTTCACCGTAGTTCCCTTTCGGTCTGTACTCCAAAGCACAATTTTTTGCCAGGACATCGGCCCATTCTTGCGCGTAGTCGTTCAACTGTTGGCACAGTCATAAAAATTTCCTCGGCGTTATTTTAAATCGCGATGTTCGTCGCTTTTCCGCGGATAAAAATACGCGGACAATGTTATTTCGTGGCGGGGAAAAAAGGAAGAACGATCTCGTTCGATATTTCATAGGGAGGATGTACCGTTGGAAAAATAGGAGGAAAGCTACGTGTACCTTCCCGTCGATTTGCAGCGGGGGGGCTTCGTGCGCAGCTCGGTACTGATTATGCAACCGAAGGAAACCAGCCACAAAATTTGGTGGGAAATTTCTGCAACAAAGCGGAACATACAGTATACGCGGGAGAGAAGTTTTGACCAACTCCCTCTGCTCACTCCATGTTTCGTTTGAACGGGTCTCAGGAACGGCGGTGCAACATGTTGATCGATGCTTGGGTACAGGAAGGTGAAGTGCTTCTTATGGGAATTTATGGTGAAAAATTTATGAACGAGGCTACATGGTGCAGGTTTTATGGTTTAGGTTACGCGAACGTCCAGCGAACAGTCGCGAAACGAACTTCGAACAGTTATGTTTATAGGGGCGTGAATCACGGATTATTTATTGTTCGAGGAACAATGCGCAATCTGGTGGAAAACTTCTGATAGTATTTTTCCTGCTCTTCTGATATCGATTGATAGGATATCACCCCAAGTATTTTCAGGTAAAATAAAAGTATCCCTTTTAGAATTTTCAGTAAATGAATTTGGGAATATTTATAGAATTTTGCTTGTGAAACGATTCAACTGAACCGGGATGAACACCCGTAGAATCAGGTTAACAAAACCATACGTGTATCTACTTACGTGCTATGCGAGATCCAGAAATAACCGGGTATATTTCTTCGCTTCTAATGTATTCAAAACAAACCCTCCATTTCGCGACGCGAATTCTAAGCAAAATACGAAACCACGGGAAACCAGTGGAAACGTTTCTAAACGTATGTTTCTCTTGTCCCTTAAAAGAATCCAAAGAAAATCTTGCAAAATTTTTAAAGTTCTTTGGGAAACATTCTTATGTTCTTCTGTGTTGAAAAATGAAGGTAAAATGGGAATGTTACATGCATTTGAAACGATTTAATTATAATTTCCTTTTGCAGATACGCAGAGGGTTGCACAGGTTGCAAGACGCGTTGGCTTTGGTGGAAAAAAACACACTTGGTCTGCAAACAAACTGTGCCTCGGTCGGAGAAGAGGTGGACGAGATTTATCGGAGGCTGAGCAAGGCTTTGAAAGACCGTACGGAACATCTGCGTAACGAGGTCGATCGATACCTGGGCACCGAGCTTAGAGGCCTGATTCAGCTCAAAGAGAATCTCGAATTGGAAATCGCAAATATCCAGAGCAACTGCGATCTGGCGGAGGCTCACATCAATGAAAACGTACCATGGGACGATTCGGAGCTTCTCGATACGAAAGAGCTCTTCCTGCGTACAGTAGAATTCATCAGGTTTGTCACACATCATTTTTTCAAATTGTCGACTTACAACCCACAACTTTTAAATTTTTAAATTAATATTTCAGGACTTTGGGATAATTAATAATTTAATTTGCAATTTCTAGATAGGCTCCACGACTGTCTGCAAAGCAAAGCTTTCGAATTTTTAAATTAACATTTCAGGACCTTAGAATAATTAACAATTTATTTTGCAATTTCCATATAGGCTCCACGACTGTCTTCAAAGCTCAGCTTTCGAGTTTTCAAATCACAATTTCTCAAATCCAGTTGGAAGACTGAATTTTTCATTTTCCAATATTCTATAATCTGAAACAGAGTCACAGATATAGTATTTCTTATTCAGACCACGATTTCTTCAACCAAATATCAGATCTGAATCTTTTATTTTCTAACATTCTATAAGTTCGTGTAGTCTGATAGCAAAGATACTCTTTCATATTTTCTTGCTCGAATCATGATTTCTTGAAAGTATTTAATCCTTTATCCCGTAGCCCCGAGCAAGGTGGCTGCTTTATGGCTCCGGTATGAAAACAAATTTCTCCGCGATATCTGTTATCTTTTGAAGCATAGTACCCTTACGGGACGCGTAGTTCATTTCGTGTGGAGATTGAGATTAAAATTTGTCGAGTCAAAGGAGCGACAGCAATGCGCTTTCGCTACTGAACTTTCATTCGAACATGTTTCACGTGGCTAACGAGATAGGAGATCGCAATTAACGTCGTCGAAATAAAAATATCTCGGGAAGGATTTGAAAATCAGCGGAAAAATTATCGTGCACTCGGCGAGGAATAACGATCTCCTTGAAACGTATAAAACACGATAAATTTTCTCGTTGGAAAGGCAATTTCCTTGGCCGAGTATGTGTACGCTTTTGTTGCTTTATCGAGCGTCTAGTTGAATGTCAAAGCAGGGTACCTCGATCTTGTAAAAATTATGATAATCTTTATTCTTTTTCGACATTCGGTCGCGAACAGATCTCAGAGTAAGTCATAGGTTTAAAAGATAACCAAAGAAGCGAACGGTTTCTCACACATCCTTGTTCCATAAATTTTCACGAAATAAAAGTATCCCCGTTACATGGGGCGTGAAACATAATTCAGGCAATGAACGATAAATCTCTCGTTTGTTACGGCAACCTGAACACGTCTTATCTTCGCAATTCATCTTTTAATTTTTTCCCCCGTTTCACTCCACATTTTTTCCCCGCTCTGCATAGGTGGCAAACGGTTCCAGCTTACCGGGTTATATCCTCCAGCGGCAATAAAAGAGTATTTATTATTTTCTGAATGAACGTAGTCGTGAAAGGAAGCACAAAGTGAAACACCGTGCGGAAAGTAACTTCCGACGTTTTAAAGAACTCAAATTAAAAATAATCGTTCGACGTACAGAGACTGTTTCCTGGAGCAATCTTTTCCATTCTCAACCGTGAAATTTACGGATTATACAGTAAATTGATAAAACTTCATAGAACGGCACTGTGTAGAGTCGTAAATCGTCTAATATACAGTTCTCCTTTTGCCCGAAGAGTCGGAGGATCTCTTTTGATCCTCGAAAGGGAAAAGTTTCCAGTGCAGTTGAAAAATAATGAAAGCTTTCTTCTCATTTAGTAAGAAATCCTCGTCGTTTGTGTAACGTCGCACTTTTTCAAATTACTTCTTCTTTCAAATTACCACCGTACCTTCCACGAGACACGAGAAGGTCTTTCAAGAGACATGAAATGTGACTCGACTCTCTATACCATTTTTATCTGATTTTTATTCATAGAACTCTGATGGTTTAATTTCCAAGCACACTCTGCACGTAGCTTTCTCTCATCCGAGCCACGTCGAAATTCTAGTTACCCTTCCGCATTGTTCGCGGCACAACAGCGTGCTAACTACGCTACATGGTTTAACAGTTCCCGTTTCCTGGCTCACACGGTTATTATTCTCGTAGGGGAAGATTATCGGAAACTACGAGGGTAGAAAAAGGGACCAACGCCTGAGATAACCTGCGAAATATTTAAGAGCTTTCCTGCTTCGCGTCGCGATAAATATAACAAAGATATGGTTCCAGGCAAGAGTAAAGCGCTTCTTGATATAAAATGTAAAGCCTTTAGAGCGACCGTTCAAAAAGGGATAACACTCTATCTGTTTAATCATTCAGAAGATAGCAACAGTCCCTCTAAATTAAAATACCTTTTCGATGAATATAAATTATTTACCCTGTCATTAATGGAGCTGTTATAAAGATTGACACCTTTCTGTTTAATTATTTACAAGATTACAACTACCCCCAAAATAAAATCAAAATATAAATGGCGTGCCGTATCGCTGTAATTAAGTATTCAACTTACTTAAAGTAATTATCAGCACTCGGTGACAAACGTGGCCGAGTGCGAAAAGAAACTTGGCTCGTTAAACGAAACTCCCGTTGAATCCAGTAAAGTGTACACGTAACTTCCTTGGATAAAGGGTAAAAATTTCGTTAAAGGGGTGTTAATTTACGATCGGATGTTGCAGGAACTTCGAGTACGAAGCAGGGGATTACAGTCGGCGAGTACGTTTCGTGATGGCTCACGATCCGAACCAGCTGGTCCTTCACGTAGCGGGATACGGCGAGCTGAATATTAAGCCAGAAACCGGAACCGGAGGACTGTTGGGTAGTTCGAGCAGTTTAGCGCCTCCCGGAGGATCTCCCGGTCTCATGAGGAGCAAAAGCGACCATCGGCTCGCTTCTCAATACCGACAGCAAGAGGAGGAACGACTCGCGAGAAACCGATACGTCCCCGAATACGAGTAATTATCTGTTTCCTTCAAGATTCCCCAGTGATTTCAAAACCTGTCTCTGTTGCTACTTTATGTAACCGTGACTGGCTTGTCGACTAAAGTTTTGATAGTATTTTGTTCGTTTTATGATTCTGACTGCGGGCCACTTGGAAAGCAACGTTGATTTGTAATAACTTATTGTGTACAAAGAGGAGTACTTTAAATAACCGTGTCTCGCGTGACCGTGCACCTTCGACCACTTCAGAAAATACCAATCTTTGAGAATTTATTTCTAAATGATAAAAACAGGGTATAATTTGCGACACCCCTTCAGGATTTATCACTTTCGGATGAAACAGTTTTTACATACTCAGTCGGACGAACATAGAGCAGCAACAGAATTTATTTCTATGAATATTCTTTGAAATCAAGAACGATTTATCACAAGAATTATTTCATTAAAATAGAAGAAATTCGAGCTCGAGGAGCGTAGGTGGCTCGAAAGGAATCCGATTTCGAAACGTTTTCAAAAAAGAGAAATATAGTGAGGTATAGGAAGGAGGAGAGTTGAATAGAGTAGTCTCGTATCGTGAAAGAGTGTTTCTCTAAAATGAAGACAGAAGAGAAGAAAAGAGGAATTTCTGGCCCGACTGGCAAAAACGTGTTTGACCGTGGACGTAGATTACTTTGGAGTACTGCCAATCGGCATCCGTGGTGGGCATACATTTTTCAGGATGTCCCACATATCTATTCTAGCAAACGTTATAAATACACGTGGCTCCTCTGGCTGTATCTTTTTCTTGGCGTGGGCCGCGAACAACTTCCTCGAGGCCGAAATAGGCATGGTCGACTTTAATTACCATCCGTGTTTCGTGTAATACGCTGACCGGCAACGGTTACTTTTATTAAGCCACCTCGTCAAAATGTAAATTAAAAGCTTTTGATATAATGCAACGCGGGTATAAACAGTAATTCAACTGTGGAAGGAAAATTGCAGCTCGTTTCGTGTCCTCGATACAACCGGAACCGGCAATTAAAGGGTTGCATGATCGTCTTTGCTAATTTCGGAATTTTCGCTCTGATAATCGAGGGTAATTTAAAGAACCCACGGCACGCGAATTTATCGCAGGGTCGAATGTTACTGCAACGACTGAAAATTTTATTTTACTGCTTTTTAAAGGAATCGAATTTTCTTGGATTCGGAAAAGTATAGAAATTTCGATGAGAATAGTTCTTAAAGCATGCTCAAGGAATGACAGTAATTGAAAATTCTTTTTATTGCTTGTCGACGTTCCCTCTCAAGGGAGATCGCGTTAAATGTTTCGATCGAACGAATTCCAATAGAATAGACAAGAAAAAGGATACTCTCTCGAGCGATCGGGTTAGGACCATTCCCTGTGTTCCTTCTTTCCTTCGATCCTTTCTATAAAATAGAAAGGATCTAAATAAAGAATGGGCAGATCCGTTTAAAGCACGTGCAACTGCTCGTGTCGCGAACGATGAACAAAAGCACGGAGCTACGTGGCGTAAATTTTTAAAAAACTTATTCCCCGAAAAATCCGATTCCAGCCTCGATAATAACCGGCCTTCCCTGACTCGATTTTCTCTGCAAACGCGTTTGAATAATTTAAGACACCATAAGATGAGCTCGTGTCTCGCATTTCGAACGTGGAACCGGCTGTACTTTGCAGACTTGAAGGGGATCAATTACCGTCAACTCGTGCACAAACCCCTCGCTTCAACCCCCCGTCCCTAATCTTCGCAAGTTACACGAAACCAAGCCCGTGTCTGTAAAGCGATAAT